CCCTGACTCCCCTTCTCGTGCCCCGGCCGAGTTCCCCTCCGCCAAAAAAAACTTGCTCAAAGGCCACTTTCGGAACTTCACTCTCTCCTTTTGCAACACCTACACGGTCTGGGACTTGCTGCTGGGCATGGACCGCCCTGACAGCCTAGACTGCAGCCTGGACGCCCTGCTGGGGGACCTGCTGGCGGTGGTAGCCAGCCCGGGCTCCGGGGCCTGGGAGGTGTGTAGCAACTGTATCGAGGCGTACCAGAGGCTCGACCGACATGCTCAGGAAAAATATGACGAGTTCGACCTCGTGCTGCATAAATACTTACAGGCGGAAGAGTACTCAATCCGGTCTTGCACGAAAGGCTGTAAGGTAGGGACTGGCATCCGTGGCCATGCGTTGGGAGCGGTGGTGGTGGGCCTGGACAAAAAAAAGAGGTCTCCCCCTCTGCTCACCACACCTCCTCCCATCACCCCACCGCCACCATTCTCAGTTCTTCACTATGAATGCTGCTTTGGAACCCACTCAGGAGAAGGGGCCTCAGGGATTCAGGTCAGGTCACCACCTGGCCAACTTATATTAATTCCTGGTCTGGGCACGGTCTGACTGGGGCCTCCTGGCATCCCTCCCCGCCTGAGGAGGGAGGGTGTCTCCAGGCCCTCGCTGGCAAAGGGGTGGAAAGAGGGATCTGGCTCCCCCAGCTTCCATCTTCAGCCAGCGGTGCCCTTTTCCTTTCTTGGGCTGGAATTGGAAGTCTTGGGACTGGCTGGTGCAGGGGGAAGGCCAAAGGCTGAAGGAAGAATATTTGGCAACCTAGCCCTCACCCTTTGGTCCCTGCAAATGGGCTAGAGGAGGGGCACCCCTGCTGGTGGGGCACACCACACTGTTGACCTTATATGACCTGAGGTGGCCAGTCAGGTGGAGCCCAGGGATGCCGGTCATTTCCTTTCCAGCTCTTCTTCCCTGACAAAAGAAAGAGCTGGGAACAGAGCATAGTGACTTGTGGGAAGGCCACTGAAGATTGGTGCATTACCAAACTCCCAGTGCCTTTCTAGCACCCTGAGGTAGCAGTGGGAGACAGCTGGCTTTCTGGCTGCTGGGAACAGAAATCCAGAGGAGAGAAGAGGCCGCTGCAGAACTGGCCTGCCTATAACAGAGCTGAGTTGAGAAACTTCTTGACCCTCTCAGCAGGGTGGTTCTGCGTAGTAAGTGTATGGGGGCTGTAAACATTTGGGATGTGGTGCTACTGCCTTGTTGGCTCATCCTGGCCAGGTGGCTTGCTTTTGGGAGGAAAGAGAACAGCAAGGTCAAAGGGTCAAGTGACAAGGAGACAGGTTGGGATGGTGGCGGCCTCACCCATCCTCAAGCAGGGATGGGGGAACTGAGAGCTGGAGAGGGAGTTGATTGCCTCTTAGTCTAGCTTGTCTCCCACCAAGGCTTTGGGGAGGGGCAAGAAGTGCCTCTTTCCATCCAACATGACCCCTGTGGACTTCTGCAGGATTCCATGCTCTTGGTGGGCTCCTTAGGGGTTTGGGGAGGAAAGGGGTAGCTTCTTGCTCCTGACTTTACTTTCTCCTTCTCCTTTTTCTTGTTCTTGTAACCTAGCTGTCTTCCTCCCGCCTCCCTCATTCTCAGCTGACTCACTGCCTCACTCACACTACCAAATGAGATATTCCATTTCTTAAAGGTATACAGATACACACACACACACACACACACACACACAGCCATGCACTACCACTACCCCGGGCAAAGTCACATAGAGATACAGAGAGGTTGTCACACTAAACAGTGCTACAGAAGCAGACACCCTGTCACATACATACATCTCCCCAAAATCTTAAAGACACAAAGACAGAAGTCCTGTCACATGAAAAAGGACATATTTTGTCATATAGAGATAGAGACACAGCCTCAGTGCAAGCCACAGTACACACACTCAATGGGAACAGACAGACATGGTCCAGTAGCAAAATCAATAAAGAATGTATGTCTTTTGTGGCCTTCAATTCAACCCTGTGGCCCCAACTTTCCTTTTCTTCAATCACCAGGATGAATGAGAGACCATGCCACAAGTTCCCCATGGGTTTTCCCCATGTTATAGTTGGCTTCAAGCTGTATCTGATCCCACACTAAATAATAATCTCTCATTTTGATTATTTTTACCAAGCAGTTTGGTGTAGGAGAAAGACCACTGATCTCCAGGATTTAGGCCTTATCAACCTCTACCCCTTGTTAACAGTGTAACCTTGGGCATGTCACTTCACTTCTCTAAGATTTTATTTGCTCAGTTGTAAAACAGGGGTAATAATCCTTGCTTTGCCCACATCCTGAGCATTTTGTGTGAGATTCAAGTAGGAAGAGGTAGCTGATAGCATTTTGAAATAATAATATAACACCCAACATTGATGTAATGGCTAGGGTTTTAACCTCTCTCCAATATATTATGAGATCACAACTGCCCAAGGAGACTGGTAATCCCAGCACCATTTTACAGATGAGGAAACTGAGGTGCAGGGGGGTCAAGCCATTTGCCCAAAGTTCATTCAGCTAATGAGCAGGAGTGCCAGGCCTCCAACCCACATGTTCTGGTGCTAATCCCATGTGTTTTCCAGTGTCTCCCATTAAGTTCCCAGTGGCTGGTGCCCTCCCTCCTCTCCTTTGTCTCCTTGTGTGTCGCTGTTGCTCTCCCTCTCTCACTCTCCCTCTCAAAGGAACTCTGCCTGCTCTCTTGCTGCCTGCTGTGCCAGGAGAAGGGCAGTGCCAGCTCCATAGCTTTCTTATCTTTCCCATCCCTCTCCAATGCTCTGTCCCTCAACTCAGGCCTAGACCTAAAGGGCTCTTGATTCCAGCTGTATTATGGGCACTAAGGGAAAAGACATCCCTGCTCTCTTTCCTGCAGCCCTTCTATCTTCATCCCATCACCCCACTTATAACCCAGGCCTTCTCTGTTGATCCCTGATCCCGCTCCCAGACTCCAAGCCTACCGGTTCAGCTCCTACCCCAAATAGAATCTCTTGGAGATGATAACCATCCTCAAACTTTTCCTGGGTGGAGAGCTCACAGCCCCAGGCCAGGATGAGAGGGCTTTCTTTTCTTCTGGAAACCAAGCCTGGACCTTCTTCAGGGCCAAATGACCCCCATCCCTGATTGTGTCTCAGTCAGATCTTTCCTGGGAAACCCCAAAAACTCTGTTCTTTCCCTTTGCAATGTCTGCCCCTGTTTTGGGTCACACAAGGCCCCAATAATCATACCTGTCTTCACTGCTGCCTGTGACACCTCCCAATTTAGTACCAGTTGTAACATTTGCTTAATGCACGAGTCGCTTCCTCTCCCAGGGCAGGGCAATGTTGACTTAGTCAGGCCATGCCTATCTCCACCCTGGTCTCTCCTAACCTTAGGGACCATCCTCCACCTCCTTAACCCCCCTGTGCACACCTCCAAAACACTTACCTCCTCCTCCCCTTGGTCCTCTTGGCCCTGCCTAAGGTTACTGGACAGCCACCTCACTCCCCACAGCTCTCCATCCTCCCAGCCCTGCCATGCCCCTGCCTGGCTCTAATTGCCTCTTCCCCTATCTTTGCACTTCCCTCCTCTAATTCAGGGCATTCCAATTGAGGGGAGTGGTGGAGATGGGAACAAATTTCTGGCCTCTTCTCTCATAACTCTGATCCAAGAGGGGCTAGAAGCCCAAGAGAAGGGCAGTTCTCAGCTCTCTTACCAACCATTGGGCCACAAAAGTAAAGGTTAGTGACAAGGAAGAATATGATAGTTCTGCTCTGTTCTAAACTGGCCCAAATCCACCTGGAAGACCATGTGTTTGGTTTTGGGTCTTACACTGAGCAGGTTGGGAGGAGGCTGAAACCCAAGTTCTCTTGGACAAAGTCGAAGGAGCTGTTTCACCTGGAGAAGAGGACACTCAGAAGGCTGTGGTCTCTGCTTTCAGACCTCTGAAGAGTTGTCATGATGCAAAAGAAGAGGCATATTCTGCTTAGTCCCAGGGGTACTTTATAGTTAGAAAGTCCTGGGTTCAGACACAACTCTTTCATTTATTATCTATGTGACCTTGAGCTGTGGACTTTTTTCTCAAACCCACACTTTTCTCATCTATAAAATGAACCTCAACCCTGTGAGGTCATTATTAATGAGAAGTATGCACAGTACCTAAGCCTGGCATGACAGAGTTACTCAGTTAAGTTTTTTTTCTTCAAAAGAGGGACAAGACTGCTTTAGGAGGAGGAGAGCTCCTGTTCCCAGGAAATGTCTGGCCTGATTCAGGCAGACCCCTAGAGGAAATGCTGTGGAGATAACTCTAATTCCAGATTATGGTGAGAGATGGACCAGGTCTGTTTCAGTCCAAAGTTAAGGCCCATGAGCCTTAACTGCTCCCTGAACACCAACACTGAATGGGAAGGACTGGAGCAGGAAGCCTAACACTCACTCATGGTGGGGAGGGGGTGCCAGATCCAGTGCTTCACCTTCTGCCCGTACCCATTGATTCTTCTTCCACTCTGGCTGGCAGCTGTTTCTGCCTCGTTGCCTTCCTCTCTCCTCCCACCTACCACAGCTTTCCTGCTATGAGGGACTCCTGGGCTAATGCTGGTGCTGAGAACAGGGAGCTCAGGACGCTGGGCAAAGGGCACGATCCCCAAGTTGGCCAATGGTCCCTGTTGTTAAGCTCACAGGCGGGAAGCAGGGCCCACAGTCAGCCTCTCCAACCCAGGGTTCTTGTGGGCAGAGAAGGTGCCCTGGTCCCTGTTTGGAAGTGGAGAAAAGGGGCTGCAGTCAAGAAACTGTCTTCTGGAAACTATGGCAAAGCCACCTCTGGGGGGGGGGACCTCTAGATCCACAGAAGCCCACTCTTCAGGAATTTGAGCTTTGGGTTTCCTAGAAGAAGCCAGGGCAGAAAAGAGGCAATGTTTATAGCTTGGACAAGGATGCACCGGGTTAAATGTGGGACTGGGAAAGTGGCCTCATGCAACCCACACCTCTCTGGGCCCCCTGACCCCATCCTGACCCACCCCCACTATTACCCCTCATATTCCTCTTAAATTTTTGCCCACACTCAACACCCCTCATCCACATACCAGTGACCCTACAACCTTCCCAATCTTCTACTTGAAGATCACCCTAGACCCTTTCCAGACCACATTCCACACCTCACTCTCTAGTCCTTTCCCTTACACGTACACACTTCCGGCCCCCACTTCTCCCAATAGTTACCCCCACTCCTTCCCACCTTCCTTTCCCCCTGTCCCAGCCTTGCTCCTCTATTAACAGTTGACCCTTTCCCATTTCCTATCCCTCTCCAGTTCTCTCATCTCCCACCTCTTCTTCATACCCCTCCCAACCTTTGCCCAAACCCTTACCCC